AACTTCTCGTCTTTCACAACCATCTTCTGCAGCTTCTTCAGACAGCCTGGTCATTTTGAATTCAATTGTTTCATCCCCATCCTGCCGCTCAGTTTCATCTGCTGAGTATGTCTCAAATTCTTCATCCGGTTGTTTAATCTCCGTCTTCATTGAGGTATCAAGTAATTCAACCTCTTCTACCTCAGAAAAATGTTCTAACTCCAGATTTATGTTGTCACTTTTTGGCTTCTCTGGATCTTCTACAAATTGCAGTGCTCCAGCCTGTTGCTCCACAACCAAATCCAACTCGTTCTTGTTTTCCTCTGCGCTGCCTTGTCCTGTCAGGAAATATTCACCTCCTCCTGTGCCGCAGCTTTTAAAGCCCTCCACCTCTTCTGGTAAGTGAATGGTCTGAATTTCCTCTGAATTTCCCTCCTCTAAGAACCTTTGTAAGGTATTTTCATCTGACTCGAGTTCATTGTTGTACTCAGGAACTGCCTCTGGAGTTACCTTGTACACTTCAGTGCTGAGCTCGTGAGACAGGGCAGTCTGGCCTTCGATTAACCCCAGTGGAATATTGTTAAAGTCTCTGTTTATTTCCTGTGCAGACTCGCCTTCAGCTTTTACAGTAACTGGAGTGGTCGAACAAGCTCTTTTCATGCAGCTCTCTTTGTCTGTGACTTCACTGGAAAGCCTCTCCTCCTCTGCCACCTCATAATCATCATCTGCTGACATTTCTTCCATGCTCACCTCTTTTTCTGTGGCAGTTTGCACATTCTCTTCTTTAAATGTAAACTCGGTTGTATCTGGCTCTGTTTTTTGCACATCCTTGTCGTTGTTTGTGACACTTTCAGTTGAAACATTTTCCTCTTGCCAAACATTTTCAATTGTCCTGCTCTGGTCCTGTTCTGACTCTTCTTCCGTTGTCTGATAGTTTGAAGGTGTATTTAGATCTTCTTCTTCAACGACCTTCATCTGGACGTTCTCATTAGTTAGCTCATCTTCTAACAACTCTCTGGAGACAGGGAGCTGAGTTTCTACATCTTTTGTTTCCTCATTTGAAGAGTTTTCATTTTCAGGGCTCAGCTGTGATGCATCTTCACAGATGTTTGCATCGTCCAGCATCAATGCAGCAGCTTCACCTTCACTTTGCTCTCCTGTCTTCCCGATAATGTCCACCACTTCACTAATGGTGAACTGTTTTATCTTACTTTCTTCCTCAGAGTCTTCTTCATTTTCTTCTCCAGTGTCTTCCTGGATTTCATCGCTGTCTTCATCCAAATCTTCCTTGGCTTCATCAACTTTTGGAAAATCATCTATGCTCACTATGCTCACAGGCTCTTCCCCAGCACCAGCTTCTCCACCTCTTTTCTCCATCTCTTCACATATTGCCTCATTTTCTGAATTTTCTGATCCAGCATTACCTTGGTCTTCTACATTTTCAACCCCTTCTCTTCCTACACAGGTGTGCAACTTTTGAATTTCAGTTTTCTCGAGTCCAAGTTGATGTTCTGTCATGTCTTCAGTGATTAGGTGCTCTGCAAGGTCGCTTCCTGTTAAGCCAAACTGTTCCTCTCCTGTGCCATGATGCTCCTCGCTGCGTATAACACTTTGGGTTAAAACATCTTCCTCTTGTCTGGCATCTTTGACTGCTCTGCTGCTCTTTTCCTGCTCTGGCTTTTCATGTGTCGCAGACCCTCTAGGCTCTTCCTCCTCAATGACAGCAACCTGGACCCTCTCATCCTCGGCCACACCTGACAGCTCTTTGCAGACAAGGGGCTGAGTTTCTACTTGCTGTGTTCTTTCCTCTGAGTTTTCATTCGCAGAGCTCAGCTGTGAGGCATCTTCACAGATGTTTGCATCTCCCAGCATCACTGCTTTCATGTTTCTTTGTTTTTTCGTCTCTGTGTCACTTTCCTCCTCCTCTTTTGGGATGCACTCTTTTATCTTGCTCTCTTCCTCCAAGCCTTCGTTTTCCTCTCCATTATCTTCCTGAGTTGGCGTTGAGGTTTCCTCCACTTTTCGATGATCATCTAGTCTCCATGTGCTCACATACCCCTCTTCTTTAACACTTGAATCCATCTCATCAATCACTCGCTCCTTTAACTGCATATGTCCTGATCCGCCAGTTGTATGTTGTGAGTCGTTTTCAGGCATCTCACCTTCCTCATAAGTGTCATGCTTTTTGATCTCAGTTTTCTCTTGCCTGCATTGAGCTGGCTTTGCATCTTCTGTGACTAGCTGCCCTGCATGGTCATTTCCTGCAAGACTGAACTGTTCCTCTGTCATGTCCTCTTTGCTCTCACGGTCTTCTCTAGGCTTCACATCAATATCTGTGGTGCAACGCTCCCAGGCAACAACCGGTGAGGACGAGCTAAGTAGAGAAACAGTCGGAAGAGACAGTTCCTCGCTAGCTTCTTCTCCATAAATATCGATTCCCGTTTGGCCACAGTCAGGAGGCTCGCTGTCGACTCTGGATTCATGTAAGGAGTTTGGGTCATTGTTGGCTGTTTCAACTGGTTGTGGCCTCAGGAATCTGCTCACAGCTTCAGTTATGTAACACTGGGGAAGAGATGGGGAAAGTGTTATTTGTCTGAATGAGTCTGTTGTGCACGATTTGATGAAGTTAAATCATGAGCTGTCATAGTTAAACAGAGATAAGAGGGCACTTGGTTCCACTTGTGTAATTTTAGTATTACAGTGCACAAGGCTGTTTACACAATAGTGTTCCTGCAGCTTTACAGGCAGATTGTTAAAGGCCCTTTCCTGTTTTAGAACCACAATACCTCCAACAATACCTGAAGAGGCCTTCTCTGATTACTGATTTAATAACTCTGGGAAAAACTCATCTTACTCACGTGAGATTAAGGATGTGTTGTAAAAATATGTGCATACTGTCATGATGGGATTGCAAAACACAATATTTACAGTACTGTGCGAAAGTCAATCCTCATTCTTTTATAATTTGCTCCCAAACAGGCAGATTCCTTTCTTTCTTTCTTTGAAGTTGTCTTGAGGTATATTTCTCCAGACTTTCTAAAGATCTTTCTAAGCTTTTCTTTGGATCATGGCTGATTTTTTGTGTGCAGATTTTCAGGCCAGTATCTTAATGTGTTGTCTGTTAGGCCACTTTACTCTGACCTATGAATCAATTAGGCATAGTAAGACTCCTAAACCCAGAGGATGAACCACTGTAAAGTCCACAATAAACAACTTAAAGAATCAGGTTTAAATTGGATCTTTAGGCATTTTAACTACAGGAGTGAGCCACCTTATTGCATCTTTTGGTGAATCAAGGCATCGACTGCTACCAGTTTCAATGCGCTTCAAGATTTGAAAAGGTTTTGGTTAAAAAACAACTCTAAAAACTCCCATTTTGTGCCTATGGTTAGAGGTTCTTTTCATAAGGCAGAGAAAATACCGGACTGACTAGTTTTCTTTGGCTGCATGGAGCATAGAGTAGTGCAGGGCTCCCCCTCTACCCCCAACATATTGCTGTTCACTGCCACCAGCAGTCTGAAGATAGGCTACCACACTTTTTCATCACAATAAAGAAAATGTCTATTTGGAAATATTTCCAGTAGTTAAAAACACAAACAGTTAAGGTGCAGAAAGACTTATTAAAATAAGGCTATTTTAAACTACAGTTAGCAAGCTACAAGAGGCATGTCTGTTAAGCAGCGGACTGCAGGCTGGGTACCTGGGCAGACAACCAGGCTGGTTAACCAACTCATATCAGCTTGTTATATTCACACAGCTACTCTATAAAGAGCAGAAAAGCAAAAAGGTTTAATGCTCAACAATAATAAACAACAATAAATGTCATAGAAAACTGCATGGTTGCAATAATGAATAAAATTGATTATTTAATTCAATTCAATTCAATTCAATTCAGTTTTATTTATATAGCGCCGATTCACAACACACATCGTCTCAGGGCACTTTGCAAAGTCAGTTTAATCGAATCATACAAATTTCAAGTCAGGTACATACATTCTGATTAATGCTAACTATCAAACCGTGCAGTCAGATTCATTTATTATTCAAATTGGTTAAAAAGTTTTCTATCTAAGGAAACCCAGCAGATTGCATCGAGTCAGTGACTTGCAGCATTCACTCCTCCTGGATGAGCATGTAGAGACAGTGGACAGTCACTTGCATTGACTTTGCAGCAATCAACTTATCCAATAATACTTCTATAGGAAAGAAAAGTGAAACATTAATGGTTATAGCTGCTTTATAGGCTTCATCTAGGAGAGAAAGACAGCTAAGCAGATTACCACTGCGCCAGTTTTCAAGTCTAGAGTATGAAAGAGAGCACATACAGTTAGTCACAGTAGAAGCTCAGCCAGTAGCTATGTCTAGGGTTAAACACTGAAAGACAGGGCCAAGTGGATCATCTGTAGAAGGTGAGCATTAAGTTGTTGGTAGCAGCAGCTTGGACGATGTCCCCTTCCAGGAGGGTGCCACAGCTAAACACAGAGCCAGGCCAGATGTAGCTTCTGTTTAAGATGCAGGGATAACAATAGCTGCTTCTCTGTTTAAAACAAAAGCAATTAGATTATTTGTAATGCATTTTTGTGTAAGATTTTTTATCATAAATACCATGAAAGCATGGTCATTTTTATTCAGAGTTAGCATATTGTCACAGTCACATACCAATCCATTCCAAGTTAAATCTGAAAATCTGAATTAAAGAACAAATCTAAATAATACTAAAGATAACTCGGTTTAATTTGTATAAGAAAGTATTTTAGCAACAAGGTGATCTATAAAGAACTAGCAGCTTAAATCTTACAGTGGAGAGTAGTAAGTTTACAGTGGATTATCAAGTGAAGAATGGTCACCTCAATCCTGTGTTCAGTGGCGCCACCAAGTGGGGCACCGGGGAAAGTAATGGACACGGCTATAAATGTTTATTTCAAGATTTTTTTCCAAACCAGTAAGAAACAGATGCAAAAAAATAAGTATAGTGTACTACAAAATAAAACAAAGATTCCTAACCATACTAATAATGAATTGGAAAGGGGTGACTCAGTAGGAAGAGTAGTTGTCTTGCAATCAGAAGGTTGTGGGTTCAATATCAGCTTCCTCCTGCCATATGTCGATCTGCCCCTGGGCAAGGCACTTAACCTCAAGTTGCCTACCGATCTGTGTATCGGTGTATGAATGTGTGAGCGTTAGTGCGTGTGTCTGGGTGAATGTGGCTCTAGTGTAAAGCACTTTGAGTGGTCTGTATGACTGGTAAGGTGCTAAACAAGTTCAGACCATTTACTTCCACCCTACATTTCCATTCCTTAAAAAATTATATGATTGCTGCCAGTTACAGCTTAGTAACTAAATCTTCACTGTCATATCAACTTAGCATCGCACATCAATAATAATATACATTAAAAAAGAATCAACATATTCTGGTTATTATAACCACATTATACAAATATACATTACAGGTCCAGTCAGAACCCCCCTGTCAATAACCATGTATTATGAACCATGTATTGGCAGAAACTATTTCTTTATATCTTGATTTAAACTGATGAATATTTGGACATTGCTTAAGCTGCGATCCCAATCGTTTGGGATCCTAATCGATCCCAAGTGTGATAAAACAAGGAATGGACTGAAAATGTTGATGTTTATGAATAGACGTTACACTGGTACATGCCTTGAGCTTATCTGCCATTTTATCCCTGAATCCTCCATAGGTCAGAGTTTATTGGCTTAAGAAACAAGGAAGCAATCTTAGAAAAATGTTCAGAAAAAAAGCTGCCAAAATCCAAAGAAAAGGGCTGAAAGACCTTTAGGAGAAGCATTTTTATCACAGTGGCAGAAACGTGCTTCCATGTTTTTTGTCCCACCATACTTTACAACTATAGGCTGCACCTTTACCCCAGTTTTGTATCCCCTTAAAGTTTGAACAGAGCAAGTGTGTGGAGAAACTTAAAGGCATAGAACAAATAATTAATTTTGAAATAAAAGAAAAAATGGGGAAAGTGTGCGAGGATGTAAGGTAATGACCAAATATAGTCGCACAGATGAGGAGAGGAGGGGAGGAGTAGAAAACAGGGGGGCCATGCATGTAGGATGAATATGTGTCACTGAGTATGACAAATAGATAACAGGAAGAGAATGCTGAAACGTTTATGCTCATGTCGCAACTCTAAACTTTAAAGTTCTGTAAAAAGTGAAGCTTAAAATGATTCAGCTGCTCACCCAGACTGACACCAGGGTCCTCTCCACCCGGGCAAAGGGATTGTCGGGGTCCGGGTCCATCTTTGCACCTCCTTCCTTGTTTAACACTTTACCATTTAAATGAGCGAACCAGAACAGCGCATCAGTTTAAATCCTCTTCGGTGTGGTGACCAGAAGCTTCATCAGAAAGCTGCGTCCAGACGCTCCTGGCTCTGCACGGATCTCCTGATAGGTGGACTTCTCTCTCCTGGTGTTTGTCCGGCCTTATGATCAGGAAGAGGCTGATCCCAGCTGAGCGGCGCGTCTAGCCGATGCGCTGCGGAGTTTGCGGATGTAAACAGCGCGTCTTTGACAGATCAGACCACTAAAATGTCTGTGATGAGTTGCTGAGCTGCAGTGAGAAATGCAGTTTTAAAATAACGTTAAACCTGGGCAGTCATGGTGAGGAAACACCCACAGGACCAGTGCATGAATTAAAGTGCTCTGTTGTTGCAGTGTTTCAGAGAAGCGCACTTGTTTTATTATATGTTTAGGCTAAATTATTCAACCTGAGAAGAAGCTTGTAAAAGTTAGGAATTAGAGAAGTGGCTCAAGGCAATGATTGCACAGGCTTTATCAGCAACAGGTTATTCTCTAACCGCAGCCTAAAACACATTTCCTTTACTTCTAATTCTGTTTCTGTCACTGCATGACGAGAAGTGACAAAAACAGAAGTTAAGAATCTTATTTCAAATACAGAGCGGTGAAAAGTTAGTTGCCCCCTTAAAGATGTCTTCTGTTTTTGCTTTATTGTGAATGTTAAATGTTTCAGTTCAGCGAAACAAATTTTAGTTTCAGACAAAAGATAACATGAATATGATTTCATTTGTGAAGGAAAACGTCAAACAAACCAACCAACCAACCAACCCAGCACCTAATCCCAATCACCTCCCTCTCACTACCCCTGGCAGCAACACCTTACATCACTGTGGTTTACTTTGCAGAATTGTTTTAATTCAGTCCTTCCTGAGGGTTTTTCGAGAATGAATGGCCTGTTTAAGGTCATGCCACAGTATCTCAAATAAATTTAGGTTTGTACTTTGACTAGGACTCTCCAAAACCTTAATTTTGTTGTTTTAGTTGAGTAATTTAGAGGTTGTCGTGATGGTGTGCTTCAAATCATTGTCCTGCTATAAAACCTAACAGCGCTGAAGCTTCAGGTTGAGAACTGATGGCTGGACATACACCCAGGAGAGAGCAGAATTCATGGTCATGAAAGTTCAAAGCAGCCCCACAGCATCACTCACCACCACCGTGTTTGACTGTTGTTATGATAATCTTTGTCTGAACAGCTTTGCTAGTTTATTGCCCGATGTGATGGGATGCACACCTTCCAAAAAGTTCCACTTCTGTCTCATCTTTCCACAGAAAATGTTCCTAAGCATCAAGAATTGTTTTTTGGGTTTGTGTTCTGCTTTTTTTTTTGCAGTGTTTTGTTCTCAGAACCCACCCCAATGGATGCCCTTTCGGATACCCAGTCTCTCCTCATTTTTCAAACATAAACTTTGACATTAAGGGAGCCAAGTGATGGCTTTGTTGCTTTAGATGTTGTTTTGGATTCTCTGTTGACCTCCAGGATGAGTCATTGGTGTGCTCTTGGAGGAATTTTGGTAGGTCAGCCACTCCGGTTCCATGTTTTCTCCATGTGGATAATGAATCTCCTCACTGTGGTTCTCTGGAACCCCAAAGCCTTAAAATGCCTTGCAACCTTTTCCAGGCTGATAGATGTCAGTGACTTTGTTTTCTCATCTATTTTACACTTCTTTAGATCGAAGCAGGAAGTGTTGCTTTTAGAAATCATTTAGCTTACGTCATGTTGTCAGATTTCTTGATTGTATAGGTCTGGAAGTATCATTTAATTATCCTGTGTCTGGCAAATAGCTTCAGCAAGTCAAACAGCTAAAAGGGTTAAGGAGAACTGCCATTAGTGTTTTTTTGTCTTCTCAAAGCTGTGGGCTGCTGAAACCACTGGTAGTGCGACCTGTTTCCAGTAAAGCTTAGTTGATTATATGAAAGAAAAACAGAATTTATGTTGCATCAGCACTGATTTCCTTGAGAATGTGCAAATTTTCACAGTGACCTTAAATAAAATCAACAGTTTCACAGTATAACAGTATTTACACTAAAATTTAAAACCACAGCCTGAAATATTTCCAGAAAACCCAATTTTTAATTCCTTTAACTGATGGAAGAATGCAGAAACCGTCTTTCAGCCAGCTGATGGTCACGTGCAGCAAAAAAGAGGGAGGGGCAGCTCTGCATTAGTCTATGCTACAAAAAGACATGAAAAACTCCACCCAAAGAACAGTATGATATAAAATATAACTGGTTTTGAAAATGTAACGCTTTATTGGTTGACCTTCTCTTCATCCAGGACTAGGGTCAGGAAAAGGGCAGCTAACATCTCTGTAAACCCCGACATATTCCTGGACACAGACTATTTACTGTAGACTTTTACCTTCAGGTCGGCGTTACAGAGCGCTGCTGGCAAGAATCAGCCACCACAGAGACAATTTTACCCCCCAGGCTGTCTCTGATGAACTTTTAACAGTCAGAGTGCCCAGAACCATACCAGGCATATCCACACTAATTAAATCTTGTCTTTCTGTTTTGTAAAAACACTCAATATATACATTTAGAAAGCAAACAACATTTTATTTTCCAACTATTTTTATATATTTAAACTTAAAATGTCTTCATTGAGAGCAAAGTGGAACCGAAGTAAAATTCCTCGTTTGTGTGCTGATTGTGATTAAAACCTTGGTGTTCCCTGATACTGGTAACCAGTCCATACCTCGCTGACAGCAAAGCCCTGCTTCTCACATTTCAATTCCACTGCGTCATCGTTTATTGCTTCATTGCCTGCAGCTTTCCAGTTTAAATTGCAAAAGGGCAACTCACACCAAGATGATGTAATCAATATTTTTAGACATATTCCTGTCACATTCAGTGGCATTTAATAAAATAGTAAAATAAGGGATTCATATGACATAGGTGTTTGTGGTTTTGGTGTGTCTTTGTGCGGATCCTTGTAGTAAATAAAGACACTGTAACTAGTACCAATGCACAGAGCAACGAGCTGTTCCTGTGGTTAGTGCACAAAAAATACAGAAGTATATTTCGAAACAAGAACTAATTTTGTCTGTTCATAATAACAGCTTTGAGTTTTGCACATTATTTTAAATGGTACAGAGCTGCTGTAACTTTGGGTGTTTGAATAAAATCATCAGCATTAACATGAACTAGTGTGTATTTTATTGTCAGCTTATTCATTCAAAAACAGAAAAACACACAGATTTTGGAAAAAGACGAGATTAAAAATATAAATAGACCCCAACAACAGAAACAGATGAGATGCAGCTGAATGCTTTCATTTATGTTAAGTTTTAGAGATAAATATTAGATACATTAGAGGAGATGTGAAAGAAGTAGGCAGTCTTGTGCATCTTCATGTGGAGGATGAAATTTCCTCATTGGGCTCTGAAATAGAATGGCACATAGATGATTAAACTTCCTGCTGACCGGGAGACTTTCTTATATCGTAAGCAACACAAGAACAGTGGCTAATCTTTTACTGAACCAGCAACATTTCCTGTTCTAAGATGTTTAAAACTATTGTCATTTAAAATGATCTTGTGGTGGAAGTGTTTCATTTATGGTTTTGTCAACATCCATGGCCTTCCTGATTATATTGGAATGATATATATATTTTTTTCTGTATGTGTCATTTAACAATACAGCCAACTAACTCAAGCTGAGAGATAATAAAATGATTCATCTTAATAAAGGACAGGTTCAAAGTAGCTATTTCCTGATTTTTCGATGAAGGTAAATGAAACTTAGTAAGGGTTTGAAACTTTGTGCT